CATGGATCTGTCCTGATGTCTCATTTTTTTATTCTTGCTAATGCTAATTCATGTTTTTTTCCTCCTCTCCTATTCATCTTTTTTTGGGGGTGGGGATGAGGGATTTAGTCTTGCTAATGGGTTATAATTTCAGTAAATGCATTTATGCTACTTTTTTCACATATTATACATAGTTACAATGTCTAATTGTTCTATTAGCTGAAAATTATTGCCCAATAATTACTCCTTATTGATTGAATTGAGTGATTGTGAATTTATTGATGGAAATTTTGTTTTCAGGAGAACATAGTCAGTGAGAGTTAATATGAGTTACTTCCTAACCTATTACTCTCCATATTGTTTTTTTCTATGGAATGCAGGAGTATTATTAATTATTATATTCTAAAGAACTATAATTACTTATTTTTTTAAATAAGTGATTTATTTTAGAATAGTCTTAAAGTTATAGAAAATTTCAAAGATAGCATAGAGAGTTCCATATACCTTATACTCTGTTTTCCTTATAATTCATATTACTATTTTACACTAGTATGGTACATTTGTCACAACTAATGAGATAGTATTGATACATTATGATTAAAGTACATACTTTATTTAGATTTCCTGAATTTTTATCTAGTGTCCTTTTTATTTCCCCTCATCCCATCTAGGACACCACATGACATCTAGTTGTCATGTCTCCTTAGTCTCCTTTGACAGTGACAGTTTCCTTATTGTTTTTTAACATAATAGAAATTATGAGTAGCTGAAAATCAGCAGAGCCTTAAGGCATTAGTTGCTCATGTTGCTATTCTGGCATGAGATTTGGCACAATTGTTCTGAAGAACAAGGGAGAACAATATAATGAGTGATGTCTACAAGGAAAAAGGAGAAAAGCACAGAGGGATCTGAGACACCCACACACATCACACATGAATGGTCACCAAAAGCTGATAATTACTTAAGCTAGGTATATGATGGCTCATCATGGAGTTATTCATTTTGTATACATTGCATATTTTTATAATTAAAAGGCTATTTGTAGTTATATGCTCATATGTGTGTGTATGACAGTTATATCTCTACAATTCCAACATGCATGATGCAGAATACTTGTTTTCACTCAAATTACAACAGCTTTTGCACAAGGTGATTAAAAAATTTATTTAATTTTTTCCTGTTTATTTTCCCACAGTTCTTAAAACCATATTTTATAATAATTCTTTACTTTTGATTGAGGAAGAGATTGTTATCAGCCCATCATTTGTTTTTCAAAACTCTGTGCTACTTCTTATCACTTAATGCATCGTTTTCAAGTTCTAAATGTTGTTAGGACCTAACATTTATCCAGCAATGGGTGATACCACTTCATCTACACATTGGTGAATTTTTTGGTGTAGTGTTAAGGCAGAAGTACTGTGGTTTGTGTTATGTTTTTCCACAGGAAGATGAAATTAGAATAGCATTTTTCAGATCTTTCTCAGTGATTGAAATTAACTGAGAAGTTGTACTTTCAGTTCTAAATTAGGAACTCAGGAACTATCCACATTTTCTAGTTTTAGAGACGGCTTTTATCCACAAGAATGAAGATCTTTCTTTTCCCAACAGGAGGGTGACAATGTGTGTGTGGGTGTGGGCAGGTGGGTGGGTGGCTGTCTGTGTGTTTCTAACTGTTGCTCAAGAAATGAGGAACTATATTTCAACATCAAGAAAGTCTTTAAAAATGTTTACACCATAAGGTAATTCTAACTGTTTCTTGAGCATTCGAACAGAATTAGTAGAGGCAGGGAAAGCTTATCGTTTCTGAGGGACATATATTCTTTTTCATTGTGTCTGAGGGTAGATAATTAGGATATACTTATTGAAAAACCAAAAGTTATGACGTCACTGTAAGAAGCCTTGTCTCTAAGAAAACCAAGAAAATGAGTCTTTACATGTGAGATTAAATTTGAATTTTCAAAGTTAAGCACTTTCTGATCTTGTGGAAGGCACTTACCTTTGATACACACATTGCATGCAAGATGAAATGAGTTGTATCCATGCCTTCCAACTATCACGATAAAATATCAAATAACTTTTATTTTTAAAACCTAAGCACTATCCGTACTTATTAGTTTTTTTTTTTTTCTGGGAGCTCTGCTAGACACTGTAAGATACTACTACATAAACATATGTGAGATTATTTTGTTAATGATGGTGATGATGATAATTTGTTGTGGTTGCTGCTAATGCTGATAATGCCATGGACAGAAGCTGAATGAGAATGTATTAGGAAAAACCATTCAGAAAAAAATTTGTATGTCTTGCCTGAGGTTAGCTTGCAAAGAAATCAATTATTACCATATTAAACTATAAACACTTGATCTTTGCCAAAGACTGAGAATGAAAACAGTATAAATAAAAAAATTATGTGTGCTGTTATTCAATATTGGTAATGTGAAATGTTTTTATTAAATATCTTATTAATAATATAGGTGAATTAAAATGCCCATTATATTGTTATGACATTTACAAATAATTAGTCATTATTTTACAACCGAGAAAAATGTATAAAGTTACTTTTACCTGACTCTATGTGACTTGTCATTTCTAATATTTTTTTTAGATATGTATTGGTGGAAATTTTTCTGTATTTCACTGCCCCATTCAAAATATATTATCCTACCACAAGGAAAGAAAATAGAAAAATAAATAAATGCCCACTTTTATTTTATTCAGGAATCTTTTGTGAATTGAAGGCTTTAGATTGATCTCTGTGGTGGATGTGTAGTCACAATTATTGTAGTCACAATTATGTAATGATCAGAGGGTTCCTCACAACTTGAGTATGTACTTTCCACATAAATGTGTAGTTTTCCTTCTGTATAATTTTAAGATATCTGGAAGTTTATACAACCATACAAGGCATAAGAAAGCTATTTACTCTGATTTATCTTATGTTCACTTTATGTTTATTTCATATTATGTTCATGTTATAATTTAAATAAAGTCTTCAGAAACTTGAATACTTTTTACCCTTTATTTCATTAATGACTTTTAATAAAGACACTCACAATTTAAGCAAGCCATCTTAGAATACTGAAATGGCATTAGTACCTGAAATCAGAATGGAATTTTACTCAAACTCTTATGACTCTCTAGCTTAGAGATGGGGTTAATCCACAACCTCTGTGTACTTTAGTTTCTTTTTATATCAAACAGAGATCAATAATATGCCATATTAACCTCAATGGATTTATATATGATTCAAGTCAACTGATATGTATTTGAAAGTGCTCCTTATCCTAAAAGTGTTATAACGTGCTCAAAGTGGGGAACATTATATTAAATAAGCAATATGATTTTGGCCATATCTAAGATTGAATTTCTTCACTCATAAAATTATATGAACTTCACATGTTTAATATTTGAATTACATATTATATGCACACATATGTTTAATTTTTATGTATTAAATAATTAGTATTATTTAAATTATAGCGGCGCGCTGTGGCTCACGCCTGTAATCCTAAGCTCTTGGGAGCCGAGGCGGGCGGATTGCTCAAGGTCAGGAGTTCGAAACTAGCCTGAGCAAGAGCGAGACCCGTCTTCTATATAAATAGAAAACGAAATTAATTGGCCAAACTGGATAATATATATAAAAATTAAAGCCGGGCATGGTGGCGCTATGCCCTGTAGTCCCAGCTACTCGGGAGCTGGAGGCAGAAGGATCACTCAAGCCCAGGAGATTGAGGTTGCTGTGAGCTAGCTGACGCCACGGCACTCACTCTAGCCTGGACAACAAAGTGATGACTCTGTCTCAAAAAAAATAATAATAAATTAATAAAAATAAATTATAAAATGCTTTTAAGTATTCAGTAAATGATTAATATTTCTAGAAGACAGCAAAATGTTTCTTGCTTTGTTCAGAGGCAAGATCTCTAATTTATCTTTATCCTAAAACTTTAGATTCTATTATTTTAGCTCACGTATTTCCTTCAATATAAAGAAAATTAGACACACTAACCTTTACTGAATGTTTACTATGTGATTGGTCTTATGGATGCTAAGTTCATTATGTCTTTTTTCACTTTTTAAATATCCATAGCAGGTTATGTTGATACCTTTTCCTTTTGCTTCCTTTCTTCTTTTGCAAGTTGGAGACTTGGATGCAAAAGTTAAATTATGTGTGAAATTATCAAGTTAGTAAATTTAAACACATCTCTATCTCCCTACTCTTGTCTTTTTCACTATATCAAGTGTCTTTATTCTAATGTTGGATTTATTGTACATTATGAATTAACTCATTTAATAGAACATAAGATTTTGCTAAAAATACTTTGCCATGGAAGAAATATAATTTTATTTATAAAGCGAGATATAAGTAAACATCCTATTAAATGATGTAATATGAAACAAAATTAAATTCATTATTACATTAAAAAGATATTCACAGCGAAGTATGACGAAGGAAATGCAAGTTGAATTTTTAAAATTTAAAGGCCCCAAATGGGCTGACAGGCCATGACTCATATCAGCCTGAATTGTTTTAATACAGAGATGAATGAATTCCATAATTATAACTTGGAATTGGCAAAGTGTGATATTTCTACATGATGGCAAAAGTGAAGATTTATACTAATCACAGGCAAATGTAGAGAAAACATAAGTTCTATATTCTCTTTGTCTCCTCGTATACTTGAAGTGAATCTTTGAATCTTTGAAACAGTGGTAATCTGTGACAATCATTTTTCCTTTTTTTAATTTCAGATATTACGAGGTACAAATTCAGATACAGGTATATGCCTTTGGGCCCTGCCCGAAGTCAGAGTTACAAGTGTGTCCATCCCCCATACAGTGTGCACCGCACCCATTAGGTGTGATCTAGCCATCCCCTCCTCCCCCCACCCACCGGCCTGACATCCAATGAATGTTATTACTATATGTGCACTTAAGTGTTAATCAGTTAATACCAATTTGATGTTGAGTACATGTGGTGCTTGATTTTTCATTCTTGTGATACTTTACTTAGTAAAATGGGCTCCAGCTCCATCCAGGATAATACAAGAGATGTCAGATCACCATTGTTTTTTTTGGCTGAGTAGTGTACTCCATGCTATTCTTTTTCTGCCAAATAAAGACACAAAACATCCCATATTTACCTTAGTGAATTTTAGCTTCACAAGAAAGGCAGAAATGATATTAACTCCAAGGTAATATTGCAATATATGACAAAATTATGGTACTAAAAACTATTGAGATTAAGGTTTTTTTCATTCCTTAAAAATGATGAGATTATTTATCATGATAATGACAATTAAGATAGGAGGTTCTAAGGGATCATTGAGAAACTGGCTTTGAAGAAGACTAAGAGATGAAAACAGGAGAGAAAAGATTTTTTTTAAGTACTCCAGAGTTAAGTTCTTTAACGATGTAGAAGTGATGATTTGATTACTATTTACAGAAATGTTTCTGAGTGTAGTGAAGAATATATGGTCTCCAATGTCTTTTTTTAAGCCAGAATACTATTGATAAGACAACTTGAGATAGCTTATACAAAAAGGAAAACAATACACCATCCTCACCTATAAATTGTGATTAAAAACTAAGAAATAAATTATTAACAAATAGCATCACTTCATAAGAGTTAATTTAAAAATGCAAATGTGCCCTATACAATAATTCCTCTTTGAACTGAAAGTTTTAGACATTACAAAACTTAAAACACATGTGCCCTTGACTCAGCAATTACTGTTGTGGGAATTTCTCCTTGAGAAGGACTGAAAAATATGCACAGGGTATGTGAAATGTAGCGTTATTTCCAATAGCAAAAACTAAGAAACTGTTAAAATGTCCATTGGAAAAAAACTGAAAGTCTGTCAATAATTAGATTCTGTCCAGATATCAATGAAATACAGTGCAGCTATTTATAAAAATTTGGCATCATTATAAGTCATGATATGAAAAAACCATCTGAATAATGCCTTAGTGAAAAAATAATGAACAGAATATTTTGTGTAGCTTCTTAAATATGTGTTTTAAAAACACGGTTGAGTGGAACTGTCTTTATTTATTTTCCATCAACATGTAATAACTGTACATATTAAATATTTATGGGATACTAAGTGATATTTCAATACAAGTATATAGTGTGTAATGATCAAATTAGAGTGATCACCTCAAACATTTACCATTTCTTTGTGTTGGGAACATTCAAAACCTTCTCTTCCAGGTATTTGAAGATATACAATACATTATCATTAACTACAGTCTCCCTACAATGCTATAGAACACTGGAAATGATTCCTCCTCTTTAGCTGTAGTTTTATACCCATAAGCCAACCTCTCCATAACCTGCCCTGCCCTCCATTTCCAAGTCTCTAACAACCACAAATCTACTCTCTACTTCTATGAGCTAAATTATTTTAGTTCCCACATATGAGTGAGAACATGAGGTATTTATCTTTCTCTGCCTGATTTATTTCACTGGACATGATGTCCTACAACTCATCCATGTTTGTGAGAATAATAGGATGTCATTATTGTTTATGGCTTTATAATATTCCATTATGCATATATGTCTTATATTTTCTTTATCTATTCATCTGTTGATGGGCACTTAAATTGATTCCATATCTTGGCTATTGTGAATAGTGCCACAGTAAACATGGGGTGCAGATATCACATCAATATACTGATTTCCTTTCTTTCATGCAAATATCCAGTAGCGGGATTGCTGGATCACATGGTAGTTCTATTTTTAGTTTATTGAGAAACCTCCATCCTGTTTTCCATAATTATTGTCCTAATTTACATTCCCCTCAACAATGTTCAAACATTCTCCTTTCCCTTCCTCCTCAGTAGCATTCTATTTTTTTTCTTTTGTCTTTTGTATAATAGCCATTCTTACTGGAGAGAGGGGAGAGATGATATCTCATTGTGGTTTTGATTTGAATTTCGCTGATGAATAGAGACGTTGAGCATCTTTTTATGTACTTGTTTGCCAATTGTATGTCTTCTCTTGAGAAGTATTCATGCAGATCCTCTGCTCACTTTAAATCAGATTTTTTTTTTTTACTGCTGAGCTGTTTGAATTCCTTGCATATTCTGGATATTAGTTATTAGTTCGTTGTCATAAGAATAGTTTGCAAATATTTTCTCCCATTCTACAGGCTGTTTTTCCACTCTGTCAATTGTTTCCTTTACAGTGCAGAGGTTTTTAAGTTTGGTAAAGTATCATTTATCTATTCTTGGGGGTTTTTGCCTATGCTTTTATAGTCTTACCCATAAAATCTTGGCCTAGACATATGTCCTGAAATACTTCCCCTATGATTTCTTCTAATAGTTTTATAGTTTCAGGTCCTACATTTAAGTCTTTAATTCATTTTGAGTTGACTTTTGTATATAGTGAGAGATAGGAGTCTAGGTTCATTCCTCTGCATATAGTTATCTGGATTTCCCAGAACCATTTACTGATGAGATTGTCCTTTCCCCAGTGTACATTCTTGGTGCCTTTGTTGAAAACCAGTTGGCTGTAAATACATGTATTTATGTCCGGGTTTTCTATTCTGTTCCAGTGTTTATTTTATGCTAGTATCATGCTATTTTGGTCACTATAGTTTTGTAGTATGTATTGAAGTCAGGAAATGTGTTGCTGTCAGTTTTATTTTTGCTCAGGATTGCTTTAGCTATCTTGGGTCTTTTGTGATTCCATACAAATTTGAGGATTGTTTTTTCTATTTCTGTGAAGAATGTTATTGGAACTTTGATGGCGATTGCATTGAATCTGTGCATTGCTTTGGGTATTCTGGTCATTTTAACAATTAATTCTTCTAATCCATAAACATGAGGTTTCTTTTCATTTTTTGTGTCCTCTTTAATTTAATTCATCAGTGTTTTGTAATTTTCATTCTAGAGATCTTTAACTTCTGTGGTTAAATTTATTTGGGGTGTTTTATTTTTTGTAGGTATTAAATTGTTTTCTTGATTTCTTTTTCAGCTAGTTTATAGGTGTATTTCTACTGATTTTGTATGTTGATTTTGTATCCTGAGACTTTACTGAATTTATTTGTCAGTTCTAAGAATCAGCTGGTGGAGTCTTGGGGATATTTTAGGTGTAAGACTATGTCATCAGCAAAAAGGAACAATTTGACTTCTTTTCCAATTGGATTCCCTTTCTTTCATTTTCTTGCCTAATTGCTCTGGCTAGGATCTCCAGTACTATATTAAATGATAGTGGTAAAAATGGCCATCCTTGTCTTGTTCCAGTTCTCAGAGGAAAAGCTGATTCCCTGCTCAGTATAATGCTAGCTATAGATTAGTCATATATGGCTTTTATTGTATTTAGGCATCTTTTTTCTATACCTAATTTGTCAGGTTTTTTTTATAATAGAATGTTTAATTTATCAAATATTTTATCTATGTCTATCAAGAAGTGCATAAGGTCTTTGTTCCTGATTCTGTTGATGTGATATATCACATTTATCAATTTGCATATGTTGAACTATCCTCTCATGCTTGGTATAAATCTTATTTGATTATGATATATTATGTTTTTATGTTCTGTTGGATTCATTTTGCTAGTATTTTATTGAGGATGTTTGTGTTTATGTTCATTAAGGATATTATCCTATAGTTTTGTTTTTTGCTTCCTTATCTGGTTTTGGTATGAGGGTAATGCTCGCCTCATAGAACGAGTCAGCAAGTATTCCCTCCACTTTATTTATTTATTTTTTTGAACGGTTTGAATAGAACTAGTATTAGTTCTTTAAATGCTTATTAAAATTCAGCAATGAATCCATCAGTTTATGGGCTTTTCTTTAACAATAGTACTTTTATTCCTTCTTCAATCCTGTTGTTTGTGATGTCTTTTCAGGTTTTCTATTTCTTCATGGTTCAATCTTCATAGGTTGTATATGTCAGGGATTTATCTCTTTTTTTCTAGGTTTTCCAATTTGTTGGAAATAGTTGTTCATAATAGTCTCTAATGATCCTCTTTGTTTTGTGATATAAGTTTTTTTGTCGCCTTTTCAGCTCTAATCTTATTTGTGTCTGCTGTTTTATTATTTAGTCTAGCTAAAGGCTTGCCAATTTTGTTTCATTTTTTAAAAAATTTTCACTGATTTTTTTAGTTTCAATTTTATTTATTTATGCTCTTATCTATTATTTTCTTCTACTAAATTTGGCTTTGATTTTTCATGTTTTTCTAGTTTCTTGAGTGCATAATTCAATTTTTTAAGTCTATTTTTTTTTCTTTGATGTAGGCATTTATTGCTACAAACTTTCTTCTGAATACTACTTTTACTGTATCTCACAGGTTTTAATATACTGTGTTTCTATTTTCATTTGTTTCAAGAAACTTTTTTCTTTCCTTGTTATTTTTTTTCATTGGACCATTGTTCAGGGCATGTTGTTTGATTTCCATGTATTCATGCAGTTTTCAAATTTCCTCTTGTTAATGATTTCTAGTCAGAAAAGATACTTGATATAATAACTCTTTGACATTATTAAGACTTGTCATCAAATGTATGGTCTATCCTGGAGAATGTTCCATATGCTGATGAGAAGAATGTGTGATCTGCAGCAAATAGATAAACAGTTTTGTACATGTCAGTTAGGTTTATTTGTCTGGAGTGTAGTTTAACTCCTATGTTTCCTTGTTGGTTTTTTGCCTAGATGATTTGTTCATTGCTGAAAGTGAGGTGTTGATCTCCCCTACTCTTTTGTATTACAGTCTGTCTCTCCCTTAAGATCTTTTAATAATTGCTTAATATTTTTGGGTGCTCTGTTGTTTGATAAATATACAATAATTATGTCCTATTGCTGAATTGACCTCATCACTATATAATAATCTTCTTTGTCTCTTTTTATAGCCTTTTACTTAAAATTTATTTTATCTGATAGAAATATAGTTACTCCTGCTCTTTTTGGTACATTTTCATGGACTATCTTTTCCCATCTCTTCACTCTCAGTCTCCATGTGTTTTTAGAGGTGAAATGAGTTTCTTGTCAGCAGTATATAATTTGGTCTTTTTAAAAATCCATTCAGCCACTCTATGTCTTTTAATTGGATAATTTAGTCAATTTGCATTCAAAGTTATTATTGATAAGCAAGGACTTAATACTGT